ACTGGACTTCTCCGCACAGTGCTGACGATGACACCCCGACCCCGGCACCGGCACCGGCACCGAGGCGTCTCCGCTTCGCTGGCGGCTGGTCCATTCCCCTGGGACCCGCTGGACGACTTTGCCCTGCAGCCTCAGTCCATAGGCAGGTGAGCAGAGATGATCGGAGCTGTCGAGCGTCTCTTCCTCGAGGGTAGCCCGTAAAAAACAAAGTTTTGCGTCAACTTTACTTTTTGTGTGTGTGTGCTCGTCCTCGGTCTTTCAGCGTCACGATCCCTTTAAATCTTAAAACAAATACCGTGCTGCGGCTCCGACGCTTTCCAATTGCGACCCCGTCGACCCGCCCACCGCAGGCGCCCCATTGGCCTCAAATGGGCTTCCTGCCTCCTGAGTGGTTCGAGCGCCTGTCCGTCCACCTGGAAGTCCACATATGGCCACGCGGTTCTTTCTCTTCATTCACAAAAAAAAAACCGGTTGGAACGTGAGTCAGCGGAACACGCCCCCTCGCGCGGCGACACAATGGAACAGAAACACGTTTCGGCGAAACCGCGGAACATTTCCCCGCCTCGCGCGGCAAACCCGCTCGACTCCTCCGGCCGGACCGGCGTCCTCGCGCCGCTGAGCTCAGTGGCCGCAGCCCAGACCTTTCGTGCAGACACTGTCTCACTCGCTGCAAGAGGAACAGGTTGTTCCCCGAGGAGTCAGGGGGCTGGAAATATGGTAATGAGCGCTGCGCGATAAGAGAAAGCCGCCTCGGAGCTGCGCGGGTAGAAGAAACCGAATCTCTATGGTCCTCAGCCCTGTTTGTGGAGGACGAGCGCACACAAGGACGCTGCAGGGAGACGCTTCTTTACACTCAGGGCGGTGGGAGCCGGGAACAGACAGCCCGGTCCTGACTTCCTGCATCCCGAGAAGGGCTGGTACCGTCTCTGCCCCTGGGCTCCAGGGCAGCGCTACTCTCTACTGCCCCACTGCCCTCTTGATGCCAGTGCTGTCTCTTTACCAGGGCCACAGGGCGGCACCACTCTCTACTGGCCCTCTTGCCCCGGGGCCACAGGGCAGTGCCACACTCTACTGCCCCACTGCTTGAACTTGAACTTTATTGCCACATGTAACTGGTACATGCACTGGTCCAAAGGAATTCTTACTTACAGAAAGTCTCTCGATTGTTAAAAGAAGTGTAGAAACACAAAGTGCAGACAGTGCATCAAGACAATATACAAATAAACAGTAGACAACGTACAACAAGTAAACAGTTTGAGTGTAAACAATGCAGATGTGTAAACAATGACTGGAGTTGTGCAATAAATACGAAATCATAAAGAGGTAGATGGTGATGGTGTAGGTGTGGTCCGAGGGGCATGGCCAAATGTGTTCGCCCATCGCACTGCTTGTGGATAGAAGCTGTTGGAGAATCTAGTGGTCAGTGTCTGTATGCTCTTGTATCTCTTGCCTGAGGGCAGTGGGGTGAAGAGCTCATGCCCGGGGTGGTGACTGTCCTCTGTGATGGCCAGAATTCTACCATGGCAGCGGTCCTCATAGAGCTGTTTAATCTCTGTGAGACCACAGCCGGTGATCTTCTGGGCCACATTGACCATTCTCTGCAGTGCCTTTCTCTCTCTTGCGAAGAGGTGTTGCTGTACCACACGGGGATCCCCTTGGTGAGGACGCTCTCGATGGTGCAGCAGTAGAAGTTCACCAGCACAGGTACTGGCATCCCCCATCGCTTGAGGCACCTCAGGAACTAGAGGCGCTGCTGAGCCTTCTTCATGATAGAGTCCGTGTTCACAGTCCGGGTTAGATCTTTAGAGATGTGAATTCCCAGAAACCTAAAGCTGGGGACTGTTTCCACTTCTGTTCCATCAATACTGAGTGGGCTGGGAGCGTGTGGCCTGTGTCTCCGAAAGTCCACTATTAGCTCTTTCGTTTCATTTACGTTCAAGTCCAGGTTATTGCTATGACACCACCTCAGCAGCTGTACGACTTCCTCCCTGTAAGTGGACTCGTCATCATCGCTGATCAGGCCTATTATAGTGGTGTCGTCGCAAACGTAACGATGTGGTTGCTGCTGGGTCTTGCTGTGCAGTCGTGAGTGAACAGGGAGAGGGCAGCCCAGTACGTGGTCTCCTGTCACAGCCTGAGGAACAGTGAGTCTGTCTCCCAATAATGCTCCATATGTTTCCAGCATATGTAAATATATTATATGTCTTTGTTGTAAATGTCTGTAGATTTTATTTTACTTTTATTTTCTGTTTTGTTTCATGTGAATTTTTATTTGCTTTGGCAACACTGATTGTACCCATCAGTCATGCTAATAAAGCACCTTGAATTGAATTGAACAGGGAGTGCAACCTTGGACTCTGACAGCAGCCTTGTGGGGTTCCAGTGCTCAGGGTGAGTGGTGTTGATGTTTTATTACCTATCCGCACCACCTGTGGTCTCTCGATTCGAAAGTCCAGCAGCCAGTTGCAGACAGGGTTGCACAGTCCTAATCCCCTGAGCTTTGTCACCAGTTGGCTGGGTATGATGGATTGAATGCTGAGCTGTAGTCCACAAACAGCATTCTCACATACGGGTTCGCAGTGCCCAGTGTTCCAGGGCTGTATGTAGGGCCAGGGAGACAGGATCATCAACTGATCTGTTGTCCTGGTAGGCGAACTGCAAGGGGTCCAGGGGTTCAGAACAAACTCACTCTGCACACTTGGGGTCTTCTCAGCAGTTCCCATGTTCAGAACATCAAAGCGGGCATTGAAATGCTGTCTCTGGCTCCAGGGTAGCACTACTCTCTACTGCCCCACTGCCCTCAATGTCAGTGCTGTTTCTGCCCCAGGGCCACAGGGCGGCACCACTCTCTACTGCCCCTCTTGCCCCGGGGCCACAAGTCAGCGCCACACTCTACTGCCCCACTGCAGTCTCTTTGCCCCAGGGCCACAGGGCGGCACCACTCTTTACTGCCCCAAGGCCACAAGTCAGCGCCACACTCTACTGCCCCACTGTCGTCTCTGCCCCAGGGCCACAGGGCAGCACCACTCTCTACTGCCCCACTGCCGTCTCTCTGCCCCAGGGCCACAGGGCGGCACCGCTCTCTACTGCCCCAGGGCCACAAGTCAGCGCCACTCTGTATTGCACCTCTTGCCCCTCTTGCCCCAGCGCAGTGCCACTCTCTCCTGCCCCTCTTGCCCCAGGGCGGTGCCCCACTGCACCTCTTGCCCCAGGGCAGTGCCACTCTCTACTGCCCCTTTTGCCACAAGGCCAGCACCTCACTCAACTGCCCCAGTGCTTCTGTAGCAGTGTTGAGCGGGGCTGTAAGACTCCAGGCAGGGGCAATTCACAAACTGAGGCATCTGTTTACGAAGAAGACACACAGTCACTCAGGGCAGGGAGTACAAGGCTCTGAGAGACAAGAAAGGAACTCAAGTAGTCAGTGCATTTTGAACAAAATAAATAGAATAAAGTAGAAGTCTGCATTGAGTGAATTCTGAAACATTTAATTAAGAATAAAAGGCAGAAACTCTGACAGAGGAGTGTTCACAGAGCCAGCAAGATTTCAAACAACTTCCAGAACCTGAAAATAAAATAAGCAGCATGTTTGAGGACAGGATCTAAGGGTCTAAGGTTGGGTATGTTTTTTTTACCTGATAGCTGTGGACAGTGAACTTCTAGCCAAAAACATCTACGAATCCCCTAAATAAAACGATCAAACCAGCAACTTCAGAATTCCTCCTGCCCGTGTCCCGCTGCCCCCTGCTGGACTGGTGGAGGTACTGCAGCTTCCTGCTCCATACAGAGCCCTACAGTACCAGAGCCCAGTCTCAGACTCGGTCCATTCCAGGCCTCTCGTGCGAGTCTGTGCACGTCCAGGGTCAGAACCATGCGCTGGCCCCTGGCAGGGTGAGGCCGGGACACACAGACATCAACAGTGCGGGCAGGTTCAGTCCACGACGTTCTCAAATGTACAGTATGTCCTTAAGCTGCAGATCTGCAGCAGTTCCATGCTGAAGAGGACAGGGGGAAACACCCGAGAGGTGGAGCCCCTGGCTTGTCAGAGGTGACCAGGACACACGGTGCCGCGTGCTGGAGAGCGCCCAGCGAGGGGAACCCCGCTATCAGAGCTCGCCCCTCTCTGGAGGGGAGTGGGCAGCAGCCTGCAGTGTTTTGCAGTGTGGGGGGCATGCTGTGCAGAGACACACACAGAGGTCCATTCCACACTGAGTGGAACGTGCTGAGGTGCAGGTGTGTGTGTGTAGTTGTGTCTGTGCGCAGGTGCAGGTGTGTGTGTGTAGTTGTGT